AATTCCATACTGATGACGCATCACTACCCAGATGTAAGTAGTGCTTCTGATTGGTTGAAGCACATTTCACGAGCTGCACGACCAATCAGAAGCACCACCCAGATCTGGATCGGTCGTTTCTCAGACGTCATTTCGCATGGAAACCAAGGGAGACGTCGCGAAATATCGCCTGTTCTCTCAGGCTACTCATTACGAGGACTGGAATAGACCAGTAAAGAATAGTTTGGATCCTAGCCTACCCTGATAAAACCCTATGGAAAGGCATCGCCCATCGGAGTCCCTCGATTAATGATTATCAACAGCTTTCCACTGCTTGAAGCTTAGGTGTAGATTAGGCTCCCGCATGGGTAAAACCCGCGTGACATCATATTGAACCTAGCCTCACAAAGTAAGATCTGATGTTTCACTGACAGGTTAGCCTGCGCCTCAAACGTACTCTAACCCCGGTTAGTAACGTCTGCGAAGCAGCGCTCATATCCTTGTTTTAGGCCTCCGACGGACTCAACGAATTACTGGAAATGCGGTTTAAATTTCACTTCAACCTGATTGGCAAATGGGCCAATCACGGTGCACACTCAAATTCTGGCACACAGGTGGGTACTCAGTGCAAGGATTTCGGTGCTGTTTCGCAGACGAACTTAACTGGAAGTTTAGTTCCATCCGCGGCACAAGCTACTGACCGGTTGGTCAGTCAAAGTACAGTAAAACACTGAGTAAAACGAAGAAGGAAACTAAAGGAATAACTTGTTAGTTGAAATCCCAGGGCAAGGAAAAAGGAATTTATCTCTTACTTCTTAGAGAACGTGTCTACTGAGAGTAAATAAGAAATGCCTCGTTAAAAACGTAACTGTGACAAGAGTTACCTCAAAGCCATTGACTCTTCGTTCTTTTTATTCAGTTCCGGACAGCGCCCCCTTAAATGTGACCTCACTTCCTGCCAACACTACAGCCTTGACAGTAAAATGGTTTCCTGTCATTGAAGAGGACAGAAATGGTGTCATACTGGGTTACAGGGTTGCCCTTAGTAACATCACATGGGAATTCATGAGAAACGTAAGCGTTCATGGCTCTTCAACATTAAGTTTCACTTTAGGCGGACTGGACATCTGGACAAATTATAGTTTGGAGGTTTGTGCCTTTACAGTGAAAGGAAATGGTCCTTGGAGTCTTCCTCTAATAGGAATTACAGATGAAGAAGGTACGTTGTGTCTTTCAAAATAGCTAGTTAAAAACTACAATCATGGTCAAAAGGTTTTGGGACTCTTCCCTTTAATTTTTCTCATGTTTATATGTACGGAATCTGCAGCTAACCGCCGATACAAACTCATAAGCACTGCCTTACCATGCAAGGTTTCTCACCCTCCCCACTCCCTACCTCAGAGATGAGGTCCTTAACCTGTGTAGGATATGTAAAAGGTGTTTGACTTCAAATACCCAACACCGTTCTAGGGGAGGGGGGGGGGGGGGGGGGGGGGGTTGGTTTGTTTTGGATTTCAAATACGTGAAAAAAGGTGCCCCAAAGCGTTGGCGAGGAGACGGAGTGTTTTCCCTTTAAAATGGGGCGGAGTGGTGAAAATTTTTGTTTTTGTGT